AGCTCAAGAGCAGTATGTGTGAAAAAGATCTTGGAGTCCTTGTGGGGAGGAAGGGGAACATGAGCCAACAATGTGATGTGACAGCAAAAAAAGCCAACACGATTTTGGCCTGGATCAATAGGAGTCTAGTGCCTAGATCCAGGGAAGTCATGTTTCCCCTGCTCTATTTTGCCTTGGTTAGACCACATCTGGAATCACACTGTGTCCAATTCTGGGCACCGCCATTGAAGGGAGATGTTGACACTAAGCTCAAGGATCAAGGGTCTGGAGAACAAGCCCTATGAGGAGCGGCTTAAAGAGCTGGGCATGTTTAGCCTGAAGAAGAGAAGGCTGAGAGGAGACATGAGGAGGGCCATGGATCAAGAAGTGAGGGGAAGTTCTAGGGAGGAGGAAGGAGCAGGCTTGTCTTCTGCTGCCCTGGAGACTAGGACGCAAGGGAACAATGGCTTCGAACTACAGGAAAGGAGATTCCATCTGAACATGAGGAAGAACTTCCTGACTGTGAGAGCTGTTCAGCAGTGGAACTCTCTGCTCTGGAGTGTGGTGGAGGCTCCTTCTTTGGAGGCTTTCAAGCAGAGGCTGGATGGCCATCTGTCAGGGGTGCTTTGAAGGCAGTTTTCCTGCTTCTTGGCAGAATGGGGTTGGACTGGAGGATGGCCCAGGAGGTCTCTTCCAACTCTTTGATTCTAGGATTCTATTATTCTAGTTGGCCCTTCCACACATCTGAATGAAATTCCTCATTATCTGCTTTGAACTGGGATCTGTGGCAGTGTGGACTCAGATAACCCAGTTCAAAGCAGATCTTGTGGGATCTTCTGTCTTGATATTCTGGGTTACATGGCTGTGTGGAAGGGCCCCACGAGAAGAGGAGTCCACAGCAGACGATCTGCTGGCTGTCGTACTGGATTACATGTTGGACACTTCCCAAGTGTCTAGGACTGTGTATTATTATTAGTATTACTAGCTGTCCCCTGCCACGCGTTGCTGTGGCCCACATGGGGGTGCTGTGTGGGAGGTTTGGCCCAATTCTATCCTTGGTGGGGTTGAGAATGTTCTGTGATTGTAGGTCAACTATAAATCCCAGCAACTACAACTCCCAAATGTCAAGATTCTATTTTCCCCAAACACCACCAGTGTTCACATTTGAGCATATTGAGTATTCTTGTAGAGTTTGGTCCAGATCCATCATTGTTTGAGTCCACAGTGATCCCTGGATGTAGGTGAACTACAACTCCAAAAACCAAAGGACACTGCCCACCAAACTCTTTCAGTATTTTCTGTTGGTCCAGGGAGAACTGTGTGCCAAGTTTGGTTCAATTCCATCGTTGGTGGGGTTCCGAATGCCCTGTGATTGTAGGTGAACTACAAATCACAGCAACTACAGCTCCCAAATGTCAAGATTCTATTTTCGCCAGACTCCACCAGTGTTCACATTTGGGCATATTGAGTATTTGTGTAGAGTTTGGTCCAGATCCATCATTGTTTGAGTCCACAGTGATCTCTGGATGGAGGTGAACTACAACTCCCAAACTAAAGGACACTGCCCATCAAACCCTTCCAGTATTTTCTGTTGGTCATGGGAGAACTGTGTGCCAAGTGTGGTTCAATTCCATCGTTGGTGGGGTGCAGAATGTTCTTTGATTGTAGGTGAGCTATAAATCCCAGCAACTACAACTCCCAAATGACAAAATGTATGTCCTTCACTCAAATTTTTTTTGAGTGAGGACATACATTGGGTTGTTAGGAGTCTTGTGTCCAAATTTGGTGTCAATTTGTCCAGTGGTTTTTGAGTTCTGTTAATCCCACAAATGAACATAACATTTTTATTTATATAGATTATTATTATTATTATTATTATTATTATTATTATTATTCATTGAGGGCCACATTCTGCACTCACTGTCTTTCATGGCCGGAATCACTGGGTTGTTGTAGGTTTTTCGGGCTATATGGCCATGTTCTAGAGGCATTCTCTCCTGACGTTTCGCCTGCATGTATGGCAAGCATCCTCAGAGGTAGTGAGGTCCGTTGGAACTAGGAAATTGGGTTTATATATCTGTGGAATGATCAGGGTGAGACAAAGGTCTCTTGTCTGTTGGAGCTAGGTGGGAATGTTTCAACTGGGTTGTTGTAAGTTTTTCCGGGCTATATGGCCATGTTCTAGAGGCATTCTCTCCTGACGTTTCGCCTGCATCTATGGCAAGCATCCTCAGAGGTAGTGAGGTCTGTTGGAACTAGGAAAATTGGGTTTATATATCTGTGGAATGATCAGGGTGAGACAAAGGTCTCTTGTCTGTTGGAGCTAGGTGGGAATGTTTCAACTGGGTTGTTGTAAGTTTTTCCGGGCTATATGGCCATGTTCTAGAGGCATTCTCTCCTGACGTTTCGCCTGCAGCTATGGCAAGCATCCTCAGAGGTAGTGAGGTCTGTTGGAACTAGGAAAATGGGTTTATATATCTGTGGAATGACCAGGGTGGGACAAAGGACTCTTCTCTGCTGGAGCTAGGTGTGAATGTTTCAACTGACCACCTTGATTAGCATTTGAAGGCCTGGCTGAGCCTGGGAAAATCTCTTGTTGAGAGGTGTTAAGATGTGCCTGGTTGTTTCCTCTCTGCTGTTTGGCTGTTGTAATTTTAGAGTTTTTTTTAAATACTGGTAGCCAGATTATTACATCATCATCATTATTATTATTACTATTATTATTATTATTATTATTATGATTTCTGGTTCACCGATGCCTTCTTTCTCTGATCCCAACCCCAGGAGCCGAACCGGTCGTATCATGGAGTTGCTGTCCACCCCGCACAGCATCGAGATCAACAACATCACGTGTGACTCGTTCCGGATCTCCTGGGCCATGGACGTTGGCGACCTGGACAGAGTCACCCACTACTTCATTGACCTGAACAAGAAGGAGAACAAGAACTCCAACAAATTCAAACACCGGGTGAGCCATTGTGTTGGCGGAAATGGGACAGGCGAGGCAGGAAAGGCGATTGGGGAGCTGCACCAAACCCTGCGTGTTTGACTTCAAATCCCATCAACTCCAGTCAGCACAGGGAGCTGATGGGATAAGAAAGCCAATGGGATTTTGACCTGGATCAGTAGGAGTCTGGTGTCTAGATCCAGGGAAGTCTTGCTCCCCATGCTCTACTCTGCCTTGGTTAGACCACTACACCTGGAATCACACTGTGTCCAATTCTGGGCACCACAATTGAAGGGAGATGTTGGCAACCTGGAGGAGGGTGACTAAAATGATCAAGGGTCTGGAGAACAAGCCCTATGAGGACTGGCTTAAAGAGCTGGGCATGTTTCACCTGCAGAAGAGAAGGCTGAGAGGAGACATGATGAGGGGCATGGATAAATACGTGAGGGGAAGTCATAGGGAGGAGGGAGCAGATCAAGGGTCTGTGGAACAAGCCCTATGAGGAGCGGCTTAAAGAGCTGGGCATGTTTAGCCTGCAGAAGAGAAGGCTGAGAGGAGACACGATGAGGGCCATGTATAAATATGTGAGGGGAAGTCAAGGGTCTGTAGAACAAGCCCTATGAGGGGTGGCTTAAAGAGCTGGACACGTTTAGCCTGAAGAAGAGAAGGCTGAGAGGAGACATGATGAGGGGCATGGATAAATACGTGAGGGGAAGTCATAGGGAGGAGGGAGCAGATCAAGGGTCTGGAGAACAAGCTCTATGAGGAGCGGCTTAAAGAGCTGGGCATGTTTAGCCTGCAGAAGAGAAGGCTGAGAGGAGGCATGATGACGGCCATGTATAAATATGTGAGGGGAAGTCATAGGGAGGAGGGAGCAGATCAAGGGTCTGTGGAACAAACCCTATGAGGAGCGGCTTAAAGAGCTGCGCATGTTTATCTTGCAGAAGAGAAGGCTGAGAGGAGACATGATGAGGACCATGGATAAATATGTGATGGGAAGTCATAGGGAGGAGGGAGCAGATCAAGGGTCTGGAGAACAAGCCCTATGAGGAGCGGCTTAAAGAGCTGGGCATGTTTAGCCTTCAGAAGAGAAGGCTGAGAGGAGACATGATGAGGGCCATGTATAAATATGTGAGGGGAAGTCATAGGGAGGAGGGAGCAGATCAAGGGTCTGTGGAACAAGTCCTATGAGGAGTGGCTTAAAGAGCTGGGCATGTTTAGCCTGCAGAAGAGAAGGCTGAGAGAGGCATGATGAGGAATGTGTCCAGAGGAGGGCGACTCAAAGAATCAAGGGTCTGGAGAACAAGCCCTATGAGGAGCGGCTTAAAGAGCTGCATGTTTGGCCTGAAGAAGAGAAGGCTGAGAGGAGACATGATGAGAGCCATGTATAAATATGTGAGAGGAAGTCATAGGGAGGAGGGAGCAGATCAAGGGTCTGGAGAACAAGCCCTATGAGGAGCGGCTTAAGGAGCTGGGCATGTTTAGCCTGAAGAAGAGAAGGCTGAGAGGAGATATGAGGAGGGCCATGTATAAATATGTGAGAGGAAGCCACAGGGAGGAGGAGCAGATCAAGGGTCTGGAGAACAAGCCCTATGAGGAGCGGCTTAAAGAGCTGGGCATGTTTAGCCTGAAGAAGAGAAGGCTGAGAGGAGACATGATGAGGGCCATGGATCAAGATGTGAGAGGAAGTCATAGGGAGGAGGGAGCAGATCAAGGGTCTGGAGAACAAGCCCTATGAGGAGTGGCTTAAAGAGCTGGGCAGGTTTAGCCTGAAGAAGAGAAGGCTGAGAGGAGACATGATGAGGACCATGGATGAATATGTGAGGGGAAGTCATAGGGAGGAGGGAGCAGATCAAGGGTCTGTGGAACAAGCCCTATGAGGAGCGGCTTAACGAGCTGGGCATGTTTAGCCTGGAGAAGGCTGAGAGGAGACATGAGAGCCATGTATAAATATGTGAGAGGAAGCCACAAGGAGAGGAGGGAGCAATCAAGGGTCTGTGGAACAAACCCTATGAGGAGCGGCTTAAAGAGCTGCGCATGTTTATCTTGCAGAAGAGAAGGCTGAGAGGAGACATGATGAGGACCATGGATAAATATGTGATGGGAAGTCATAGGGAGGAGGGAGCAGATCAAGGGTCTGGAGAACAAGCCCTATGAGGAGCGGCTTAAAGAGCTGGGCATGTTTAGCCTGCAGAAGAGAAGGCTGAGAGGATACATGATGAGAGCCATGTATAAATATGAGAGGAAGTCATAGGGAGGAGGGAGCAGAGCAAGGGTCTGGAGAACAAGCCCTATGAGGAGCGGCTTAAGGAGCTGGGCATGTTTAGCCTGAAGAAGAGAAGGCTGAGAGGAGACATGATGAGAGCCATGTATCAATATGTGAGGGAAAATCATAGGGAGGAGGGAGCAAGGTTCTATGAGGAGCGGCTTAAAGAAGAGCTGGGCATGTTTAGCCAGAAGAGAAGGCTGAGAGGAGACATGATGAGGGCCATGGATCAAGATATGAGAGGAAGTCATAGGGAGGAGGGAGCTGCCCTGGAGACTAGGATGCAATGAAACAATGGCTTCAAACTACAGGAAAGGAGATATACCTGAACATTAGGAAGAACTTTCTGACTGTGGGAGCTGTTCAGCAGTGGAACTCTCTGCCCCAGAGTGTGGTGGAGGCTCCTTCTATGGAGGCTTTTAAACGGAGGCTGCATGGCCATCTGTCGGGAGTGATTTGAATGCAGTTGTCCTGCTTCTTGGCAGAATGGGGTTGGACTGGATGGCCCCCCAGGTCTCTTCCAACTCGAGGATTCTAGGGTTGTGTGGGGGGCTTTTGGAGGGGAATATTTTCAAGCCATGGAGGGTTGACAGAAGCCATCCAATGAACGTCAGAAGGTGTATCCCTTGCAAGAAGGAGCCCATTTGGGAAAGAGACACTACGGAAGGAAGGTGTCCTTCTTCACAAAGGCAGGAGGAGGTCATGGAACGAATTACTCACACCTTTCTCCCTCTGAAAAGGAGTCGGTAATTTTCGGTGCTGTTTAACAGGATGGGTTGCCATAGCAATTCTATGCAATGTTTAACACCCTTTCTCTCCTCGCTCTCTTCCTTTCTTGCTCTCCCTGTTTCCCTCTTGGTGAGAAGATCTCCCCCACTCCTTGCCGTTTTCCCTTCCCGTTGTGCTTCTGCACTTACCGTTGCCACAGAAACAGCTCTGCAGTGCAGAGAGGTGGCTGTGGTCTGTTGACGTGGCAAGGTTCGCTCTTCAAAACAAAGACCTGTTCCGTCCTTTCACTCGTAGACTCTCGTTTCACCATTCGAACCACTACAAAATAGGAATTTAAAAAAAAAACTTTTGGAAATGGACAACCTGTGCTTTGGATATAATAATAATAATAATAATAATAATAATAATAATAATAATAATAATAATTCTGGCAACCCAAGAACAAGCCATTCGAACCAATGCCATCAAAGCCAGAATTGAAAAGTTGACGGAAGATCCCAAATGTAAACTCTGCAAGGAAGCAGATGAAACATTCGATCCCATCCTCAGCTGCTGCAAGAAGATCGTGGACAGACTCCAAGCAGAGGCACAACACCGTTACTCAGATGATTCATTGGTATCAAAGCCAGAATTGAAAAGTTGATGAAAGATCCCAAGTGTAGACTCTGCAAGGAAGCAGATGAAACAATAAATCCCATCCTCAGCTGCTGCAAGAAGATCGTGGACAGATTCCAAGCAGAGGCACAACACCGTTGCTCAGGTGATTCATTGGCATCAAAGCCAGAATTGAACAGTCGATGACAGATCCCAAGTGTAAACTCTGCAAGGAAGCAGATGAAACAATGGATCCCATCCTCAGCTGCTGCAAGAAGATCGTGGACAGACTCCAAGCAGAGGCACAACACCGTTACTCAGATGATTCATTGGTATCAAAGCCAGAATTGAAAAGTTGATGAAAGATCCCAAATGTAAACTCTGCAAGGAAGCAGATGAAACATTCGATCCCATCCTCAGCTGCTGCAAGAAGATCGTGGACAGACTCCAAGCAGAGGCACAACACCGTTACTCAGATGATTCATTGGTATCAAAGCCAGAATTGAAAAGTCGGTGAAAGATCCCAAATGTAAACTTTGCAAGGAAGCAGATGAAACATTCGATCCCATCCTCAGCTGCTGCAAGAAGATCGTGGACAGACTCCAAGCAGAGGCACAACACCGTTACTCAGATGATTCATTGGTATCAAAGCCAGAATTGAAAAGTTGATGAAAGATCCCAAATGTAAACTTTGCAAGGAAGCAGATGAAACATTCGATCCCATCCTCAGCTGCTGCAAGAAGATCGTGGACAGACTCCAAGCAGAGGCACAACACCGTTACTCAGATGATTCATTGGTATCAAAGCCAGAATTGAAAAGTTGATGAAAGATCCCAAGTGTAGACTCTGCAAGGAAGCAGATGAAACAATAAATCCCATCCTCAGCTGCTGCAAGAAGATCGTGGACAGACTCCAAGCAGAGGCACAACACCGTTGCTCAGGTGATTCATTGGCATCAAAGCCAGAATTGAACAGTCGATGACAGATCCCAAGTGTAAACTCTGCAAGGAAGCAGATGAAACAATGGATCCCATCCTCAGCTGCTGCAAGAAGATCGTGGACAGACTCCAAGCAGAGGCACAACACCGTTACTCAGATGATTCATTGGTATCAAAGCCAGAATTGAAAAGTCAATGACAGATCCCAAGTGTAAACTCTGCAAGGAAGCAGATGAAACATTCGATCCCATCCTCAGCTGCTGCAAGAAGATCGTGGACAGACTCCAAGTAGAGGCACAACACCGTTACTCAGATGATTCATTGGTATCAAAGCCAGAATTGAAAAGTCGGTGAAAGATCCCAAATGTAAACTTTGCAAGGAAGCAGATGAAACATTCGATCCCATCCTCAGCTGCTGCAAGAAGATCGTGGACAGACTCCAAGCAGAGGCACAACACCATTACTCAGATGATTCATTGGTATCAAAGCCAGAA